CAAACATGCAGATTTGGGCTGACTGAACAACAATAGGGCTTAAAGAGGCCTTTCACATGCAAATCCCTTCCCAGGTCCCTTCCCCGCTCCCTGCCTCCCCCAAGCATGTCTCCACAGTGAACTCCTGGTGACCTCCTCCGGCATGGGAAGAGCAGGCTTGGAGCAGGGCTGTGCAGGGCTGCCAGCTCGCGGGGCGCTGCTGAGCCTGCCAGGGTGGGAGCATCCTCTGAGCAAAGCCCTGCTGGGTTCCTCTTTCTGCTGCTTTGTGCCCACACAGGTCCCCCCTCTTTTGTGCTGGGCTGCTCTAGTCCAGCTAGCCCCCTGGCAAACAGCATTGGCAACATGGGAGAGTTAAGGTGGGCTAGCTTGTCCTGGGGAGAACCCCATCAGCGTTCAGGTAGAGCTCTCTGTGGATGGCAGGGGACGCTGTGACAGTCTGGCAGCACAGATCATTGCGTGGTGGTGCTCAGGAACACTTTATTTCAGTCTCAATGTGAAGCCTCAGGTCCCGCACTTCCCCGGATGGCTCTGTGCTCTTCCCAAGGGCTAGCAGGACGTCCAGCCCCTCTGCAAATTTGCACAGACAGGAGCAGTCTGCATGTTCCTGACATGGCAACCCCCAGGCTTATCCATTCCAGCCAAACCACCTGCAATGGGTGCACGATGTGCCCAAATCTCTCACTTAGAAATTCTCCATGCCAAATTTCTTGATAAGCCTTGCAAAGACAGCCAGCCATAGCCGAAAGGAGCTCGGCAGGGCCCTGCGCAGAGGGAGAGTTTCTTGCCCTTCTTGCCCTCATCAGCAGGTCTAGCGCTGAATAACAGAGGGTTTGTCCCCAAAGCAAACTGCGGTAACCAGGGCAGCTGGCTGGGTTAGTGGGGGGACTCTGTGGCTCACATGCATCATTTCCAACATCCCATCCCTCCTCTTGCTGCCTGCGGCCACGTCTCTCTAGGTCATACCTGCTCTTGATGCACCTGGGGAAGTAAACCTTTGGGTACCAAAAAGAATACGCGGCAGCCAGTGCCCAGAGGATGGAGAGCTCATCCAGGAGCTGTCCCACGTAGCTCAGGGTCATGTGAAAGTAACTGGAGAAGATACCTGCAAGGAATGAGGCAGGTTGTGTCAGCTAAGTTCTGTCACAGCCCCAGGCCGTCTTGCCCAGGAAGCTCCTGGGGGTGATCTCAGAGGACATTCTTCAAGGGCAGGATACAGACCTTGGAATTAATGGAGACTGGAATGAGTCAGTCCACAGAGCACCACAGAGATTTACCCAGCTGGGAGCTTTGCAGCCACAGCCAGTGGGAATCATGAGCTGCAGGGCTTCGTACAGACATGGAGCCTGGGTCCCACCCCAGCTTATCCCCATGCTTTGACCACCGAGAACCAGTCTCCAGAGCCAAAAGTGTTGCAGGTGAAGAGCTGGGTACTCTAATGACAGGTTAGGTCTTCTCACAACTTTGGCACCTACCTACACAGATGAGCAGGGCAGAGACGAAGTACAAGGGCAAGGCACGCTGCTTGCAGTACTGACGGTTCAGGTAGAGCAGGGCAGGAGAAAGGATGAAGAAGCTCACATTGCTGATCTGAAAAACAACAGGCACACTCTGCTTATTGCATGATCTTGGGCAAGTCCCATCCCACCTTGTGCCTCAGTATCTCTCTCTGCAAAGAGGATACTGATCTCTAGTGAAAAGCACCCCACGGAGTGCAAGTGTTACTCTTGGCACTGGAGGAAGAGCAGAGGCGTTTCCCAAGGCTGGAGCTGGAAGGAGAGCTGTCACTGTGGCAGCAAGTCCAAGGTAAGACACCCTTCAGCTGGTGGCTTTTCTTTGGCTTTTGTGCCTAAGCAAATCACCAATACTCTTCTGTTTGCAACCATCTTCCTCTCCTGTCATGCGAGGCCTGCCAGAAACACCCTGGTTGACTTCAGCCACAGTGGGGCTGGGTGGGCGCAAGGAGCAAGGCAGGCACAGCAAACCACAGCCAGGAAAACCATCCTTAAGGGGGAGTGAGTGCAGTGGAGAGCAACAAGTCAAATAGGACAGTCATAGGTGACTGGGCAGAGGTGACATCCTGCCGTGTCACATGCAAAGCCATCTGGCCTGGAAGGGCAGGTACTCTGGACACTGATAATTACGTGAAGTCATAAATGTCTTTTCAGCATGCTTTGTAAGTGAATTCAGCAAAACTACTCTGCTTTATTTTCCAGCTGTACAGAACTGCTTCATGGACAGACTTTGGTTTACTTGGGCTAATTGTGCTGGAGCTCAGCCTGTCACTGCAAGTAGCCAGTTTTCTGGGGCTTTATTCCGGCAGTGCAGAACGCCCTGCTAAAATGGCATTTGGCCATCTACCAGGATGACTTTTATCTCCCCCGACAATCATTTTCCTTTCATCTTATATCTAACTGAGGGCTCAGACCTGGGATCTGACCTCCCCAGTCGGAGTCTCAGCCTTCCTTGGACCTTTCCCTATACCAGCCAATTGCAAAATCAAAGCATGGTTTGTGAGGTCCCATGGGATCTAAGCTTATGGTAACAAGGCTGTAAATCACAAGGATGTTGTCATAGATATGAAATCCACCCTCTCGTAACCCAGAGGGAAACACAAGTCATGTAAGGTCTCTATTCCCTTTAATACATGGAGATCAATCTTGAACTTCACCAAGGTTTCCATGAAACAACTTGATACCCATATTAGCAGCAATTTTCAGACCAAGTGTATTGGTTTTCTATAGGTGCCTAGAGCTGAATCCAGGCACATTTCCATTTACGGGAGGGAAGTGCTGGTCCTGCTCTTGTACTCAGGATCAATCAAAACACTTGAGAAAACCAACCACATATTAAAGTAGCAACTTTGCTGCAAACATTTATTTTCCCATAAAATAGTTAAAGGAGGGTTTTGGAAAAAAAATAATAGAGATCTCCAGAGGAGAAATACCTGAAGGAAAGGTAACAACATGCAAGTGCTGGCATGCATGTCAAAAGTGAGGAAATGCAGGAGTTTGAGATTGCATATAGAGAGGTCTAGATCCCTGCTGAATCCCACTGGGCATTGCAACAGTGCCATTAATTACATGATAGCAGCGTTATCACTTCATTAATTCAGTATGGAAAGTGCAAGATCAGATATCAGAGGGGAGGGATAGTCAGGGGAACATCACGAACAGAAACACAGAGATTGCAGAACGAATCCACACAGAGCAGCCAAACACAGAGCTTAGGGGCTGAGCCGCTACAAAACCGTGTCTGTGAGAGGACTTCGCCTCTCTCTGGATCCAAGCCCTGATTTTGCAAGTGCTGTGTTAAATCATCCCTTTGGCACATGGCAAGCTCCTTCTCCAGTGTGGTTGGGAGGGCTTTGCTCCCAGCAACTCCCATTAGGAAGCTCTGCAGAATCTCTGCTCACTCTTAGCCCTCTGGCTTCTGCTCACACCTGGCTGGGCCGTGCTGACCAGGAGGACCAGCTCCCTCTGCCCAGGATTCCCGGGAGATGAGAGAGCGGTGACGGAGCCGGGGCACAAACTGCCCTGCGAGAGCGACCAGCCCTGTGGTTTCCCACCCTGTGAGCTCATGGCAGTGTCTCACTTCTAACAAATGTGACTTACTGTCCTAGGTCTCCCAACCAAGCCCACCTATTCCAGCATTTGCTTCTTTCTCTAGGAGAAAAGCGAGACAATGCTCTAAGCCCAGTGCATCTGCAAGAGCAGGGGAAGGCCCCAGAGCTTGTACAACTCAGCATTTTGCAGGTTAAGGTGGAAACAGACCCGCAGACAACTTCTCCACCCATGACAAGGTGAGAACAGGCCTCTGATATGAATTTGGACAGGAGATGCTGGTTTAGGCAGGAGCTCTACCTGGATGCGTGAGTGCAGTGATGGTGCAATAGCAACACGGGCGCGTTCTTACTCAATAGAAATATTTTCTGCAGTTAAAAGAGATTTCTAAAAGCTTCATTGGCCTGGAGTGTTTTCATTCGCTTGAAGGCCAGCAAACCAAATGTAGCTGACACAGGAGCTCCAAGGCCAAAGGCAGAAGTGAGTGTCTCAGAGGCTATAACCTGTCCAGCAGGTTCCTAATGGCCAGACCTCCACAGCAGAGGCTGAGGCTGCATGTCATGACGTTGCAGCATCGTGTCAGTGCTTTGGGGCAGGAAATAGCTGTCTGTGTAGTGTTTACAAAGCGCTGGACAATTCCTGCCCCGTTCCTGTGCAGGAATTTCTGGGCAGGTGAGCAATGAGCCTGCGTTGCAGCAGGTCCCTGAGCCGGCGCAGAGGGCAGGGAACGCACCGTGGCTGCCGTGCGGTGTGAAAGTGAGTGCTTATCTGGGCAGATCTGGCTAACCTGCACTTGCAGTTGACCTCTCCCCTGATCGCTGGAGTATTGGGAACTTCTTGATAACGCTATCTGACCACGCGGTCAGAGAGACCAGTGCTCGCCAGAGACCGCTGAGGATCCAGGTGCCATTACCAGCATCATGATCACTCGTTTCAGGAGAGAAATGAGGACAGAAAGACAGGTTCCTCCCTGGTGACCCTGTTGTACAATGCTATTCCACAAACATCCAGAAGACAATAAATTTCTGGGTCATGGAGTCACTATAAATAGATATCGCTTTGCTGCTGAACGGCACTACCATGAACCAGCAGGTATTAATTAGGTACTTAAGGAAATTGTTCTTATTCTCTGCTCATGCCCTTGCTGTTTTCATTTCTGATCAAAAGCATCCTCCCCAAGCTGGGCTGAGAGGAAGTGTGGCCGGCACAAAGCACATTGCTACTGCTGGCACGAAACTACTCGACTCCAGCCTCAGGCAATGTTGGGAGGAGGACACTGAAGAGGATGCTCCATTAGGAAGCCCTGCTGACTTAGTGGCGCAGGAGCCCAGGGATGAGCTGGCTGGATTCCCAGCTAGTCTAAACCTTGGCAAACCAGCACGGAAGCCAATGTTGATATAATAATCCCAGCAAGATAGGACTCCAAAAGTTTGCCGCAGAGGGGCAGCAATGTGAATATGGGTAACAAGTGGAGGAGAGAACAGCAGAAGTGTTGAGATCACATCTGAAATCCTGTCCTGAGGCCAGGCCAGATTTGCAGTTTAGAAACCTTTGCCACAAAGCAAACTAGTCAGCTAAGAGTCAATGTTTTATGGAAATAAGAGGCCTTTGGGTCCTAAGGAAGGTAGTTAAGCATCTGGCCATGCCAGCTGGTATCTAGCAGCATGACACAGCCAAGTGAGACATGCGAGAGCTTTTGGAAGGCTCCTAAGACACTTCTTAGTGTGTTAAGGATGCTAACCCCCTTTGAGAGTCTGGGTGTAAATCAGGATGCTGGTAAAAATGGGGTCTCAGCTCCAAGGAAACATGCTGCCTGTGTGCCAAAATAGGAGATTACGCAAATACATGCCCTAAATACATTCTGATGAAAGCGAGTAACTTTCAGACTTCCTGTGGATATCAGCCCCTCTCCATTGTGGCCAGTGAGACTCCCAACCACAGATGCATTTGACATCTCCAGCTACATTTGAGGTGCTGATCCACACAGAAGTGATTTCAGTAACTCTGCCTTGCCCTGGGGCTCTGAGCCCACCCAGCAGGGAGACACGGCCAGTAAATGGGCACCAGCACAACAGGTTTGATCAAATGCCAGAGGGAAGCAGCATTTGGTCGGAACCGGCATCCGGAGCACACATCCCTTCCATAGCAGACCAGCTAATTTTGGCCAAGTGCCCTTCTCAAATAACTAAATACAGCCCAAGCATCTCTCCTCCGAGGCTGCATCAGGGTGATTAGAGCTACTGAGCTGCAGGACTTGGGTGAGGGAATTATCTATGGGCAATTTATTGAAAGCAGCTTAAAGATAAAGAGGAAACATTTCCCTGAGAAACAAGAACTTCCAGTGTTAGACAGTAATTGCTAAAAGTCATAAACAAGACCTTTGGAAAGGCTGTAAATCCACATGCCTCACCACTTTGGCAGCCCTTAATGGCACTAAGGCAGAAGGAGGTGCTCGTAGAGACGGGTGATCTACTGAGTCCGAGACGCAGAGCGAGGAGGCTGCAATGCCGGGACTGGTGCTGGATGGGGTCTGAGTCGCAAAGAGGGACCGTACGAGGTGAAACCAGGTCACGCATCAATTTTCCTCTCTTTTTTTGGGTTCTGGCTTCTCATTCTGCCCAAGTGTTGTCTCTGGTTTTGCCACTCCTGTACATTTCACTGGAATATGTGAGCCCTGCGTGGGACCTAGCCCCATTGACAGCAGAGCTGCAGGACTGGAATAACAGGATCACGCAAATCTGGGCTAAGGAGCATTACCAGGGATTTCTGAGTGGAAACTTAGCCCCACACGTGCCGTTAAGTATCCCTGACCCCAGCTAGTTTTGTGAGCAACTGCCTGTTATAAGCAATAAAAGTCCCATGATTTACCTGCAACTCAGGAAACATTCCCCATGCAAATACCCTCCCGCACCAGGAAGTTCAAAGGAATGAGCAGGAAGAGAGAATCTAACAAGGTGGCCCCGTCTCTCGTCTCCCGAAAGCAGCTCCTGGGCGCCGGGAGCGGCTGCCCCGGCGCCCGGCCCCGCGGCCTGCGGATGCGCCCGCACTCACGGTGTTGTAGTACTCCGCGATGACCGCCGAGCGCTCAAAGTTGCCTTCGCACCAGTCGATCTCTGAGCTCAGGTAGGAAAATATGCTCGGCATCGTGGGGCCGCCTTTGCGAAAAAGGAGAGCAGGGGGTTAGTTGTGCGGCCGGGGAAACGCGGCCCGCCTGCCCCGTGCGCACCCGCGGACACTCGTTTTGCACCACTCCGTTCCAGCCTGACATCCTTACCTGCTACGTAAGGCTCGTCCTCTTCCCAGCACGCATCGTATGGCAGAATATTCCCTCCTCGCTCACCCACAAATCCCCCCAAAAGATGTTCCTGACCGCTGAGCACGGGAACAGTCACCACAGCCCTATCCAGGGCATTAATGTCCCTCTTTGGGGGTCATTGCTGCTATAAGATACTTTCCCGTTTCAACCCTGTCCCTATCATGGTGACTTTTCCCTTCCCTTCCCTTTCTTTATGACTCAGATCCTCCAGCCGAAGGGACTTCCTTGTGCTCTGAGGGCTGCCAGCTCCCTGTGGGCAGCAGACGGGTGCTCTGTGTCCAGGGCTCTTCGGCTCTATTCTCGTTAGTCTTTTCTCAGCATCCTCCTGAAGGCTGGTGCTTCCATTAAACTCAGCCCTGGAGCATCAGCCTGGACACTGGACGCTACTGGTGGCCTGGGGGAATGGAGCAGAGCCTGGGGACGTGGCTGTTGCTGGCAGGGTCGTCACCTCCAGTGTATTTCCCATGCAAATCCTGTGCTACCGCCCAGCGAAAGCTTCACATCTTGGTTGGGATCTTCACCGCCAGATCCCTCAACCTGGGATCTGATGGCGGCAGAAGCTGCATTCACAAATGGGATAGCGAAAGAATCTAACCTTTTCTCTCTGTTTTTCTTCCCAGTGTCCTCTCTCCTCAACTTGAACATCATTTCATAACCCTTTCATTCCTGTCAAAAAGCAAAAATTTCAACCAAGCCCCTTCATTGGCTTATTTTGTCTCAAAACCATGAAACTGTGGAGGTTTCTTAGAGGCTGATAGATAAAGAGATGGATCCAGCCTTTGGATAGACAGGTAAAAGGATGGATCCAATTTTTAGAGATGCCATCCAGCCACTCACAGCTGGGTACCTGGTACTCAAGAGCCACAGAAAATCCCTGAATCTGAGCAGTTAAGTCTCTGGATACAGTGTTAAACCAACCAGTCCATCCACACTTCTCTAGCTCCACAAAAATGAGCAGGCACACGGATGACACCAGGAAAAAAAAAAAAGATGGAAAACATTATTTTTTTGAGAATTCTTTCAGCCTTGAGGCTAGCAAAGGGAAGGGACGTTTATCTTAAGATCATGCATTGGCTGATCGTGGGGAGAAACAGTCAAGTCGCTGCCAGCTGAGCTCAGCAGTTGCTGTAGATGTGCAGCCGAGTGAGGCAATCGCTGCTTCTCTTCCCAAGAAGTTCAAATGGAGAAAACCCAGGGGGACAACATTAGCATGAACAAGCTTCTATAACCTCCTGCTTTTACCAGATAAACGCACTTATGGATAAACCTGTATCACTTTTTAAATTTTAAGTTAATGATGCCCTCTTTTCACTCCAGGCTGGCTGGTTCCCCAGCGTGGGTGAGACTGCAGCTACAGAAGGAATGGAAAATAGATGGCAGGTGGATCGGTTTGATGCTGATGTTGCTTCACCCTGGATTTCCTTTGCACCAAATGAATCTCCTGATCCACGGTATTCCGCATTTTGCTTTTTACAGTGCTATAAGTGATTGCATAAGAAAAAAAAAAAGAATCGGACCCAAGGCGGTGAACGTCATCTCCCAGCAGAATGTACCTCAGTCAAGAGGTGGGTAAGGGTTGGAGAAGACATGAGCCAGAGGAAGGAAAAGGGAATGGAAAAGTGGAAGTAGTAGCCAGAATGCCCATTTGCTGCTCATCTGCTGCTTGCTTCCCATCCCCGTCCTGCTTACCTGTGTGTCCCTTGAGATGGATCAGCACCGCTTCCCTGCAGGGAGGGGAAAAGTCGGGATCTCCACAACTTCCTAGCAAAGCAGGAGCTGTAACCTGCCCTGCCGCTGTCGTTGTGCAGGAGAGCCCGTGGCGTGAGCTCAGCGGGAGCAGCCGCCGGGAATTACCCTCGCTCCGACCCTAGGGTAAACGCAGAGGTGAGACGGGAGCCATGAGCACCCTCCAGGTTGACCTTCCCGGACACCAACGGAAACATATTGGCTGGAGGGTTTATATCGGTGGGCAGGGGCAGAGAGGGAGGGCAGAGAAGCATGAGCTGGCAGAGCGGGTGGAAATGCAGCCTGAAATCACCCGTGTGCCCCTAGGCAGGTTCCCAGCGCACGCGCACACACCCCGATCCTAGTGCTGGTTTTCCCAGGGCAGGGACTGATCCGTGCAGCCTCCCTTGCAGGGCACGTTAAAGAGGAGCAATTTGCACACACACCCCAAAAAACCTCTCAAAACCCGACACTGCTTCACATTCAGGGGTTAAATCTGAGCTACTCTTTGGAGTTTTCCCAGCTGCTATTGGGGATTTTATTACCAGAGATAAATCATGCTTCTTCTAGCTAATTTATTTTGTGATTTGCTCAAAGAATTGGCTGCAAGGGACACTCGGGGGTGACTGCTTTGTAAACATTTTCCCTCCGAATCCCATTCAGGATGTCAGAAAAATTGGCAGCAGCAAAACTTTCCCCAAAGATCAACCCATTTTTTCTCCAATGCCTCCTCATAGGGTTGGGAGAAGAAAAAGAAATATATTGCGCTCTTAAGCCTAAAACAAAGTCATTATGTGGTCTGCTTTTGCTGTTGGAGCAGGGAGATGCCAAAAGGAAAGTGTTGAAACAGGATCCGACATATCCCACAGGACCAAATCCTTGTCCCTGTCCATTTACATGTGCATCTTGACAGATAGGACTCAAAGAGGAGCTTTTGCTGCGATGCTTCCAGACCCCCTTCACGAACATCACCCTGGGGACTGGCTCTTTAGAAATCTCAACCATTTATTTGATATGTCCGTAGAAACGACCCGAGTTGTGTGTTGAAGCGAAGCGTCTTCCAGGGCTTATAAAAGCCTTGGAAATTCCCATATATTTTGAAACGAGAAGGTAGTTAACTACTTGAAGCAGCTTATCTCACTGCTTGGTGGTACTTCTGTTACAGGTAGCCAAGTCCCTATTGCGTGTCCTTCCAGACTAGATACTGCAGCTCCAGGTGGGAGCTCTCACCCATCTGCATGGATCTGCTCTGGGATGTCCGGGCTGTGAAAGCCAGGGTGAATTTGCTGCACATTCACTAATCACTCCAGTAAGGTAAGGACGTACCCCAGTGTCCTCAGGAGGTCGAGTTAGCGAACCAGAAAATGCACCCTGCGAGTGGTGATGAGGCCCTGACACTCCAAAATAAGGCGGGTGAACAAGGGTTCGCATGAGAAGAGGGCAGGAGGGGATTTGAAAATGAGACAGATCATTCCCAAATGACCCGGCCCATAGAAGCATTTTTGAGAAGAACAGGTTTCCCAGCTCCAAACCTCTGGCATCCTTGGCATGAGTAAAGCACCCGAGCATCACTGATGTATCCTGTGCCACACGGTGAACAAGCCACGCAGAAGAATGCCATGAATCTGCATCTTGCCTGATTCATCTATAAGTAGGGTCATAAAAAGAGTGTCTGATTTGCGGATGGTTCCTTCCCAGTTCCTCCTAACTGTTGCATCCTTCCTGCTGGTGGCCCCAAGGGCCAGGAGACTGGGCAGAGGAGCTGGATTGATGCCAGGAAGCGCTGTGTGAAGCTTTCTAGGCTTTGTTTGAGAGTTACTTGGAGAGTCCCCTAAGGTCGAGACGTTTTTCTCTCAAAGCTTTCCCCCAAGTTCTCACCTCCTTGCTAAGATTTTCTTCTCCGCTTTTTCGTCCAACGTGTGACATCTCATCTTGCTCGGATGCATCGCTTCCATGGCAGACTCTGCAGGGAAACCTCATGGATAAGGTTTGCTCCTCATCCTGCCCTCCGTCTTGGCTGTGCAGCCCATTAGCCATCCCTTCTCTGCTGCCTGCACCCAACACCATCCTGCAAGACACCCTGTCCCAGGCAGCTTGGTTAATCCCTTTTCATCACTGCTTTATAATGGCTGGACTTGCAGCAACCAATTCCACCCACACCTGCTTTACGATATGGGATTTTCCTTAACCCACACGACCTTGGCCCCGTTCTCCTGCGCATCGGTCCCTCGTTGCACGGGAAGCAGAGCTGAGCCAGCTGAGAGCAGCCCCTTTGCAGGAGAAGAGGCCCAAACCCACACGCTTGAGAAAGAAGTGACTTTGCTCGATTCTCACAGCAAGGCAGCGGCACATTGGGAAGGGAAGACGGCCTTGCCACTTGCCCGTGCCCTGCTCCCTCTTTGCACTTCCATCCAAGAGCAGCCCTGAATCAGCACCAGCTCCGTCCTGCTGCTGACTCCTCTGCTTCCAGGATGTGGCTTTAGCTCCAGGTTTGCAATTTCATGCTTGCAGGTATAGAAACACATGCAGGTGACTTGGGAGTCTTGCTAACAGGGCATAGTTGGATAATCTCTGCCATCCAGGGCCCCATGGGGCAGGAACCACATCCTCTGCTTGCTTTGGAAGCTGCCGAATGAGTCATGGTCTGGAAGAAATAATAATAGCAGCAGGAGACACACTAAACTTGGAAGTGCTTTCCACAGCTAAATGAAAGCATCCATCTCCACTCCCGCTCTACCGGGAGCAATGTACCTGCTGTTATCCACTCCTGCAAAACTGTAAATATCTGAGTTTCTTCACTAGGTGGGGCAGGGGTTCCAGGCAACCAAAAAGCATCCACAGAGACAGCTCCCACCCCACGCAAGGTGTGGCTTTGAAGGCTCAGATGTCTGGGACACCTGCTCTTTGCAACATCATGGCACTGCTACTTATGCAAGCGGGGCTCTGGAGGAGCCTTTTCAGGCCCCAGAGGGTTGCTGCTGGGTCCAAGATAAATTCCCCACCACTCCATCATCCTTGAGCAATCATCCAGGCACTTGATTACCTCTGCTCCCCAGCAGGATGCCTTGCCATACCAGCCAACCCCAAAATCCTTGCTACTCTG